TGCCAGAGGACTACCTGGACTATAAAACGTAGTCTTTGCTTTCTAGCCTCTTGCTTCCTGGTTTCATTGCTTTACCACCCTGGTATAGTCTTGGCATAAATATCTCATTTCCTACAGAGTGATGATGGTGGCAAAGAAGTTCCTGGATGCTGGAAACAAACTCAACTTTGCTGTAGCTAGCCGCAAAACCTTTAGTCACGAACTTTCTGATTTTGGCTTGGAAAGCACCGCTGGAGAGATTCCTGTTGTTGCCATCAGAACTGCAAAAGGAGAGAAGTTTGTCATGCAGGAGGAGTTCTCGTGAGTTACAAGTTAGCGTGGATTTGGGGTTTCATTCTGCAAGGAAACTATTAAAGCCTTTTACACTACTGAGGATTTCTAGAGAACATTGGAATGCAAAAATAGGTCTTCTAGTCAAGACCTATGACTGTCATTTTTCTCAGTTAATTTAATTATAAGTACTTTAAGGGTCATAATCCTTAATAAATTCTGAAAACTAAAAAAAGGATGGCAGCTTGGAATTCTTACATGATTGTTTCCACCCTGCCTTAGAAATAGTAGACAGAGAATATTGAACAGTCTCTAAGATAGATGTAATTTTAGACCAACCCAACCCCTTCCCATCCCTACAGAATGTCTTTTCTGCTTGGAATACCACATTGATCTAAAGTAAACTCAGGGAATTGGAAAGATCTTAAGACCACAGACAATTTTGACCTTCACCTTCTGAGACTTTGGGAGATCAAGACGAGAGAAAATCTTCCTTGTAAGCAAATCATTAAAGCAAAGTACCATGAATAGGCAGTGTTCTCCAGAGTAACAGAGTAAGACCTGATTCTTTTGCAGAAGTGAGTTTCCAGAAGACCAATGTTTCTTCCTTCTCTGACCATTCTAATCCACAAAGTACACACTAGAAATACAAGAAAGTGGTTGGTTTCTTGTTCAGCCAGTAGTTCTGCATATTGAGATATAAGAGCTCCCCTCCCTTTTTTTTTAGCTTCTGATTTCTTTCTAGCCTTGAAATTGAAGCTAAAATAGGTAGAAACTATCCTAAGAAACTGCTTTTACTCCTCTCGATGGTGAGAGTACATTAACAAGACTCTTTCTGATTGCAGGCGTGATGGTAAGGCTCTTGAGAGATTCCTGCAGGATTATTTTGATGGCAACCTGAAGAGATATCTGAAGTCTGAGCCCATCCCAGAGAGCAATGACGGGCCCGTAAAGGTGAGGTGCTCACAGCCTCATCAAGCCTCTATGCAGCTGCCCCCCCTCATTCTGTACCCCTCCCCACCGTTTTATTGGGATATAATTGACTCTCCTCATTTCTTTATTATAAAAGTGCTGGGTCTAAGTGATTACCTTGTTGGCTGTCATGTTTTTGTTTGTCCTCACCTCCCTGAGTCATAAAATAAATATTGGCAGAGCTCATGATGCTCAATAGGAGCAGGAGTATAAAACCTTCATAGAATTTTCTGATGGTGTTTCTGTTAGGGCTAGGTTACTTCTCAGCACAGAGCAAGCTAACCACTAACAAGAGTTTTAAGATGGTTGCTCTGAGATTATTTTAAGAAAGGGTTGGGTTGCACTTGTTTCTTGTGACTTCCTGAACATAGTTTGACAGGTGACAGACATGGTAATGATTTGGTGTCTGGAGAATGGCAACATCTTTAATACAGAGTGTAAATGCAGTTTGGGTTTCAGTGACATTTTCAGTGGCAACACATCAAATTTGAGAGGGAAGGGGTCCAGAAACAAATACAGCTCATGAATTTATTCTTCAAATCACCTTACCAACTAGAGAATCTTCTGTGTTTTCCAGGTAGTGGTGGCAGAGAATTTTGATGAAATAGTAAATGATGAAAAGAAAGATGTGCTGATTGAATTTTATGCTCCTTGGTGTGGTCACTGTAAGAATCTGGAGCCTAAGTATAAAGAACTGGGAGAGAAGGTAAGTCTGAACCATATTCTGAAGATAAAATTTGAGTTGGGAAGTTTATATACGTATTCAGCATTGGCTAATTAGTTACCCTAATTAGTTCAGTACCTAAATACTGGTAGATTTTTTTTTCCAACTATCTATTGTTTACTCAGTTTCTCCTGACTGCCCCCTGGTATCTCTAGCTATGCAGTGCCTCACCTTTCCACTCCTCAGACTCAATTTAGATTGTGGGTAAAAGTATCCAGGCTTCTGAATTTTAGTAATGGCTTATATGAATCTACTGTGTTCCTTTATCTTAAAACTCTTGGTTTAGGGGCTGACCCTGGTGGCACAGCGGTTAAGTTTGCAGGTTCTGCTTCTCGGCGGCCCGGGTTTCGCTGGTTCAGATCCTGGGTGCGGACATGGCACCGCTTGGTAAAAACCATACTGTGGTAGGAGTCCCACATATAAAGTAGAGGAAGATGGGCATGGATGTTAGCTCAGGGCCAGGCTTTCTCAGCAAAAAGAGGAGGATTGGCAGTAGTTACCTCAGGGCTAATCTTCCTCCAAAAAAAAATGTTAAATAAAAAAATAAAAATCTTGGTTTAGCTATTATAGTGTCTTATGTAGGTCAAGTAATTTTGAAGATGGCTGTGTTTAGAGTCTTAATATACAGGAACCAAGAGAGAAAAGGGAAGCTTGTGGAAGGTTAGAGACTAAGTGCAAGTGTCACTACTCTTCCCATCTGAGCAGCAAAATTTCTCCAGGTGTTTAAAAATGATATTGTTTTAAGTTCTGAATTGACTAAATGTCCGTCAGTCACCAAAAACTTGAAATTTAAAGATCTTGCCTTTTTATTAACAGCTTAGAAAAGACCCAAATATTGTCATAGCCAAGATGGATGCCACAGCCAATGATGTGCCTTCTCCATATGAAGTCAGAGGGTAAGTAGATTAAAAACCAATAAAAGTTTCGAGGCAATTGATAGGAAAAAATAAGCTTGTAAACCATTTCTTTCTTGGGCGTGGTTTGGGGAGTCCCCATGTTCCAGTTGAACACAGACCCAGTGATACCTTCCTGGCGTAGAGTTCTGCAGCCTGGGCCTACATGACTGCCACAGATTTTGTGAGCTCTCATATTCCTGAGTTTTGATAGGATGTAACCTAGCCACTGATGGAGAATAGTATCTGATCAGATGAGAAATCATGAAGAGCAGAAACACTTATTGGGGAAGTATATGTCAGAGTTACTCTGGAACCTGGAATTAGTCAACTTTTTTTTCTTCCCCCAGTTTTCCTACCATCTACTTCTCTCCAGCCAACAAGAAGCTAAATCCAAAGAAATATGAAGTAAGTGCTTTGTTTCATCTCCCCACAAATACACATACACACTTGTACATATCCAGTTCTTTAATTGAGTTTATTTAACTAGAAACTCTTTGAACTCTCGTGGTCAGTATATGTGGTCGCTAATATGCTTTTACAAACTGAAAAGTCTTCTTATTGGGGGAAAGAATCCAGGGTTCTTTAAAATGTTAAATTTTCAGAGTAATCTTTCTGTTTTCAGGGTGGCCGTGAATTAAGTGATTTTATTAGCTACCTACAGCGAGAGGCTACAAATCCCCCTATAATTCAAGAAGAAAAACCCAAGAAGAAGAAGAAGGCACAGGAGGATCTCTAAAGCAGCCAAACATACCACTTTGTAAAAGGACTCTTCCAACAGAGATGGGAACACCATTGGGGAGGACTGGGACCCATATGGGATTGTTACCTCTGAGGGCTGAGAGGACGGAATGGATATAATCTGAATCCTGTTAAATTTTCTCTAAGCTGTTTCTTAGCTGCACTGTTTATGGAAATACCAGGACCGGTTTATGTTTGTGGTTTTGGGAAAAATTATTTGTGTTGGGGGAATGTTGTGAGGGTGGGGGGAATTAAGTTGGGGGGTTATTTTCTAATTTTTTTTGTACATTTGGAACAGTGACAATAAATGAGCCCCCTTTAAGCTGTCTTTTTTCTGTGAGATGGAGAACCAAAGGTTCTCTAGACCAGTAGAACTTTCTGCAATGAAGGAAATGTTATGTAATCTTCATTGTCTGATACATGTAGCTATTGAGCATTTGAAATGTGGCTAGGAGCTACATTTTAAATTTTCATTAATTTAAATAGTCACAGCGCTACTGGCTACTATAGTGGTCAATACATCTGTAGACTTCAACTAACTGGGTCCACAGTTATCACCTGTAAATCCTTTCCAAATTTCATCTCTTTCCATCCTTGCATGTTTGTTGCCTAAGTGCCTAGCCTGATGATTAGAACAGGTGAGGGACCTTTCTTGTTGGGCTGTTTCTGGCCCTGCCCATGCCCTAACGATGGGTTGCTGTTTATCCTTGCCATGCAGTTGAGCATATTTTTGCCTCCCAAGGGCTATTCTTTGCCCAGAAATGCCCTGTGTGGGGTGTGGCATCAGGTTGGTGTTCCATCCAAGTTGTTTCAGGAGTTGCTCACACTGCTGGGTGCAGCCCTCTCCCCCAAAGAACAGGGTGTGGCCCATTAACTTCCCTCTCCAGTGGAACTGGGAAAGGCAGGATCATTCCTGGTTGTGAATGAAGTATCTACTTTGTTCTGCAACAGTGAGGAACGAAAAGGATAGGACTGGTGTGATGTTTTGTTCAAATGAATTAAACCACTTCCCTCTTCCTTTTTGGGAGTAAATCCAAATACTGTTCAAAGTTATATTTTTCAGTCACTGGATAATTGCAGACAGGAACCCTAATTGTGGGTGATTCCCAACCTGTATGTTTGGAAAATGAGAACTTTATTCCTACTGTAATCTCTAGTGGTCAATTATAAGATGGATTTGGTAGAGGCTTACAGCAAAATATATATCAGAATCATCCATAGTGCTTTCAAAAAGTAAAGATGCCTAACTATAATCTTGGAGATTCTAATTCATAAGACCTCGGCTGGGGGCTGGGGATCTAGTTTTTGAGAGAGCCCCAGAAGTGGTTCAGATATACAGCCAGGGGTAAGAACTACTGCCTTGGAGGATTTAAGGAAAGCATATAAACTTGTACAAAGGACACAGAGGCAATCAGTTTTATTTTCTTGGCCATGTTTATAAAAAGATTAACTTTCAGTACATGGGTAACACCCAAGCCCTTTCCCATTATATCCAGGTGTATTACAAGTTCCTTTAGTCATGTTACCAAAAGTTTTCATTATTGTTTCTTTAGGGAGGCTACCATGCTAAATTCTAATGTCCTCAAGGTATCTTGTCCTAGAAATGGTGTAATTTCTCAGGATTTGAAAATGACATGGCTGAACTAAAAGTGAAGAAGCCAAATCTGTGCTACTTTTCCTAGTCTCCTGGGCATAGCTCTGAAGTCTTGGCACTGTGCCCAAACCCTAAAAAAATATAGCAACAATGAAAATCAAACCTTAAGAACCTAGAGCAGCTTTCCTACTTGCCACAATGGACTCAGCAATGAGAAGAGCAGACAGTTGCACTCTATTTAGTTTATAGCTGCTTTGTTCCTTCATGTCTCACTGGGCAGAGGGGTCAAGAGCCCTCTGACAGCTTCAGCTGCCCCTGTTCTTTTCCTCAAACTCCAGGATGAGACCTTTAATGTGGGACAATTTCTGATGCAGGTACTCACAGCGACGCTTTTCTTCCCTGTAACCTGGGTACCGCTGCAGAGAAAAAAATGTGTCAAAAAAAAAAAAATCCACCATTTCTACCTTTTTGCTACCATTCCCAGATCTTTCTTACCTTCCTGAACTTTTTATATTCCTGGACTATCTTTTCTTCCAGCACCTGAAATAAAGAAAATGCTAGCACCAAGTTTAACTGAGAAAAAAGCTCCAGTTCTCTTAAGGGAAGGAACTAACTTCCCTTCTCATTCTACCAAAAGATACAGACTAATTTTCCTCTCAAAACAGGCTTGCTTGTCACTTTGTTTAGTAGCTGAACAAACAGGCTTATGGGAAGTTAGCAGGGAGTTTATGGCTAGTAGAGTTAGAAAGCCAGCATGGGTTCAGTGCTTACCTTGTGTTCTGGAGTTCCTCGCTGAACTCTCTTGATCTCTGCTCCCAGCTCTACGAACCTTTGGCTTGCAGCCCCAACACGGGCATGCAGGATGCGATATTCAGCATAATCTGTCTCAAAGTCTTGCTCATAAGCATGTTGCTGCTCTGCACTGTGGATAGCCCTGTATTGCCTGCCAGGAGCAGAGAGTTGTCACCTTCAGTTTCACTGCCCCCAAAAGCTCCCGGCTCCCAGGAAGTTTATCTTAATATCTCATATGGACAAGGCTTGATAAAATGAAATGGCAGGGGACTCACAGGAGGTAATCTGGTACCTCTTCAGGGCTTGGGGATTCAGAGTCTAGGAAGAAAGCAAGAAGACACAAAGGTGATTTAGGCCCTTTTTCCCCACTATGGTGGTTTTATCCTCTCATTAACTCACCTGCTTGAACTGAGGGACTGTGCTCCAGCCTGGGGCCCATGTCTTCATCTTTATCTTGCTCCCAGGCTTCTCCCTCTTGTAGGTCCTGACTGGGCAGTGCTTGTAGGGGACTTGGAGCTAGAGGCAGAGTTCTGAGCCTCTTTTCTTTTAGTTCTGTAATGCCTGCAGGTGCTGGACGCTTCTGTTGGGGAAGTCTTTGTCACATAAATAGTAAGCCAGGAGCCTCCTATTTGGCCCTTCTCTTGAAAAGTCCTATATAATGAGCTTTGGGAGCCTCAAAATGAAGGCTTTCAATTTTTAAATTTTAGCCTGATTGGACAAAGCTCTCTCTGAAAAACTCTTGCTATTACAACTTACCTTGCCCAGATGTTTTTGGCTAGCAGAGGAAGGCAGTGCCTGATGAGGATCTCTGTTTGGTAGATGGGTCTGGTTCCTAGGATATTTGAAGAAAGGATGGGAGAGATGAAGACCGGAGTAGGAAATGGGCTAGATCTCTTATTACAACACTTAGGGTGGAGATTAGACAGGAAGACAATACCAGGGCTTCTTAGGTTAGTCCCACCCTACCTCAAGTACCTCACTTCCCACTGTGCCATGTGTTCCCTTGAGGATCCTGGGAGTGACTGTCCTTGGCTGCTTGCCAGTGGATCTGGCACCTGGTGGGGAAAGTGGCAGGGGCACTTGGCTCCCTGGGCTTCAGGCTTTGCCCCACCTTATCCCAACTCCCTGCAGTTTCTGGCCTCACCTCGTCTAGTGCCATTTTTGGCTGTGAATCTGTGTCTCCTTCAGAATAGTCTCCCATGTTCTGCCAACTCTCAGGATCTGTGGCATCTTCAGTCAAGTTGTGTCCCTGAACTGAAGATGGGGCTGGGATAGAATCCATGGCTGCCCAAATAGTGAGGCGCTCCCTGAGTGGGCCCAGGCAGTGGAGGCGGTTAAGCCCAGATCTGGAAAGGGGTGGTGGAAAAAACCCAGGAAAGTGGAGAACTTTTAAGCACCTCTGGACATCCCCCTCCTGGACTTTCCACAAACTCTTACCTGCTACCTGGTTCCCCTTACCTGCCTAGGCGTTGGCACACAAGGTCCAAGCCACCAGGGCCCTCCTGGCCACACTGGGACACTATGAAGGAGAAGAGGCAGGACCAGCCAGGGCCTGGGAGCCTCAAATACTGGGAGTGAAAAGAGACCATAAGCCCATGAAGTCAGCCCCTCCCCCTCCTGCCAATGCCATCCCTTCCTGAGCCAGCCTATGACCGAAGATGGGTCCCATGGGGCTCGTTAGCACACCAGGTGCAGCTGGGCCTGAGTTCCCCAGCAGGCTGAGACGGCACAGTCTCCTCAACCGCAGCCTCCTGTGGGACCACAACCCCAGCAGCACCTTCACCCGACTCGGGGTGCAGTTCTCAGAACTTCCTCTCACCGTGACTGCTCTCAGCCTCCCGCCTTGACCATACCTTCCCGGAGCCCACGTCTGTCCTCCCGGCACCCCACCTCCTTCACACACCGCAGGCCCGCACTTACCCCTCGATTGCCTTGAAAAGCGATCACTGGCCGAACCTGAGGGGAGAGCACAGACGCGAGCTGAGCGCAGGTGAAGCGGCGGCCCCAGGATCCAGCGTCGGGTGCCCGGAGGACCTGCCTCATGGGCTTCACTTGTAAAGGTGGGGAGGCCGGAGCCCACGGATGCCGTTCTCCATCCCCAGGTTCCTTAGCCAGGGTCGCCGGCTGAGGCCCGAGGTCCCAAGGGGTGGGGGCTAGGGAAGATGGGGCCCGGGGCCGGTCGCACCTGTTGGCGCTGACACTCTTGCAGCGCCCGCATCGCCGCGTCGTTGAGCCTGAGCAGCAGGAGGCTGGTCCGGGCAGCGGGGCTGAAGCAGAGCCGGAGCTTCCCACTCAGAAGCTCCTGGGATCCCTCCATGGCCACGAGGTCGAGCGCAAGCAGAACCGGAGCCCCAGGCGCGGGCCACCACCTCTACCTCCGCTGTGCCGGGCTAGGCTGGCACGCCCTGTAGCCCAGGTCGGCCCCGCCCTCCGCCAGGACCCCACCCACAGCCCCACCCACAGCCAGCCACCCCTGAGGTTTCCCAGCCGCCTAGGAGGCGCTTCGCTCTCCCCCAGACGTTCGTGCGGACCCCAGCGGTTTCTTCTTGGCGTGGCATGCACCGCTTGGGCTTTTGGAAGGGGCTATCCCAGTTCCGGGGCGAAAGTCTGCGGCCAGCTTCAGAACCCTCACCCAGAATCTCCAGTCCTGCCTCAGTTTCTCCAGCCAACCTTAACTCAGAGTTGCCGTTTCTAAGCGTAGCTGAACCTGCAACCTTAGAGGGTTTTAGACGCAGAGGGGCGGGAGAGAGGGCCTGGTTGCTGGGCGGGCTCAGCCGGTCTCGCCTCGGAGGGCAAGAGGCCCCAGGGACCGGAGGATGGCACACCCGAATGGGGATTCCTAACGCCTACACCTGGCGCAGCGCTTTTGCTTTTTCCCGCCCACGGCACTGCTGCGGACCCGAAGCTGGTTTCTAACGAAAGCTGGAGAGAAAATCGGGCCCCGTGGACGTCGTGGCAGCGGTGACGTTTGGCTGGAGCGCCCCCCACCGGTGGGCGTGGATGGGGGGCATGGGTGATGGCAGGAGAATTGCAGGGCAGAGTAAAGGGAGGACTCAGTCCCAGGTGTCCCTTCCTAGCCTAAACACGTGAGATTGTTGTGAAACGGAGCTGGCTCACTCCCTGTGGAGGGCCAAGAGGTGCCACAAAGTTGCCAGACATTCCAGAGGTCCAGATCCTGGTGCAGTGAGACCACAGGACCAATCTCAGTTGACCTTTGGTGTCTCCACTTGTCCCTATTTGGGTTTGTTTCCCAAGAGCCCTGGTGATGTTCTCTTTCCTAGCCAGGATCCCTCTGCTAAATCCCTGGACCTATATAATCCCAGGTGACCTTAATGCCCTCCACCCGAAATCAAGTCACCTATACATTTGTCACAACTCATCACATTGTACAATCAAAATGTGTACATTTTACTGTATGTAAATTTTACCTCAATAAAGTTGACTTTAAAACTCACTGCAGGGGCTGGCCCAGTGGCCGAGTGGTTCAGTTTGCGGGCTCTGCTTGGGCGGCCCAGGGTTTCCCCGGTTCGGATCCTGGGCGCGGACATAGCACTGCTCGCTCATCATGGCATGTTGAGGCAGCATCCCACATGCCACAACTAGGAGGACCCACAACTAAAAATATGCAACTATGTACCGCGGGGCTTTGGGGAGAAAAAGGAAAAACAAAATCTTAAAAAAAAAAATCACTGCAATAAACCTCCAACTCCAACAACAAAAACATTTACCTGTCCATCTCCTCAGGGCTCTCTGCTTCTCTGGGTGACAATTTGCTAATTTGATAAACAGTTATGGTAATTGGTAAAGCTGGTCTCCCAGGGTTCCTTTTCTTCTCAGATGACATCTGTGGCCTTTTGTTGGATTTTCCTGGATTTAAATTCAAAGGAGAGACTAGAATGGTGAAAATTTCTGGAGAGGAGGGAAGGAGCAGTGCCATAAGGGGAGGCAACTGAGGAAGATACTTGGGGAAGGGAGGAGGGAGGTAGGAATCTAACTTTTGTTAGGTGTCCATTACGTGTCAGGATCTTTGCATGTTATTTAATCCCTACAATACCCTTTTTTAGAGTAGGTATTATTATCCACATTTTTCATTCATTCATTCAACAAATATTTATTGAGCACTCACTCTGTACCGGACATTTTACTAGATCCTTGGGATACGTCAATGAGCAGATTCTTGCCTTGGGAGAACTTACATTCTAGAGAGGAAGGAGACATTATAAACACACCCAAGAAATAACTGTAAGAAATATAGTGTGGGCCGGCCCATGGCCAAGTGGATAAGTTCACGTGCTCGGCTTCGGCGGCCCAGGGTTTCCCTGGTTGGGATCCTGGGCCTGGACATGGCACTGCTTGTCAGGCCACGTTGAGGTGGCGTCCCACATGCCACAACTAGAGGGACCCACAACGAAGAATATACAACTATGTACTGGGGGGATTTGGGAAGGAAAAAAAAAAGATTGGCAACAGTTGTTAGCTCAGGTGCCAATCTTTAAAAAAAAAAAAAAAGAAATATAGTGTATGTTTAAAGGTGACAAGTGCTATAGGAAAAAATAGAGCAAGGTAACAGACTTTGGAAATAGCAGAGGAGGAAGTAGAGGAGGGTGGAGCTAGAGAGGGTTGACTGTACATTAAGTAAGACGCCAGAGAAGGCCTTCTGGAGGAGATTAAATTTAAGCAATGCCTAAAGGAGGTGAGGCCAAGCTATACAGTTGGAGAAAATGCTTTCCAGACAGAGAGACTAGCCAGCACAAACTCTATAAGTCAGAAGTGTGCCTGGAGTTTTTGAGGAAAAGTTGAGGCCAGTGCAACTGGAACAAAGTGAGTGAAGGGGAGAGTAGTAAGAAATGAAGTCCAGAAGGTTAGGGAGCAGGAGCAGATCAAGTCATGAAGAGCCTTCTGGGCCATTGTAAGGACTTTGGCTTTTACTTTGAATGAAATGGGGAGTCACTGCAGGGTTTTGAGCAGAGAAGTAACATGAAGTCACTTCTATTTTAAAAGGATCACTCTGGTTGCTGTGTTAAGAATAGACTGTAGGGGAACAAGGATAAAAGCAGCATGACCTGTTAGGAGGCCATTGCAGTAATCCAAGCTGGAGATGGTGGTGGCGGCTTGTACCACGGGGTAGCAGAGGTGACAGAAAGACAGAGTTCTGGATCTATTGAGGACAAGATTTCCTGATGGACTGAATGTGGTATGTGAGAGAGAAATAGCATCAAGGATGACTCTAGGATTTTTGACCAGAACACCTAGAATGATGAAATTGTCATCAACGGAGGTAGGGAAGACTGCAGGTGGAACAGGGTTAGTTCTGAACACGTTGAGTTGTCTAGTAGACTCCACATGGGGATGTGGAGCAGGCAGTTGTATGCACGAGTTTGGAAATGGTGAAAGATGTCTGGGCTGGAGATGTAAACTTGGTGGTACTAACATAGATGGTACTTAAAGCCACAAAACTGGATGAGATCACCCAGAAGATAGAGAAGAGCCTGAAAGATTACACCCCAAGGCCCTCCAATCTCTATAAAGAGGTCAGGGAGAAAGAAAGCAAAGCCAATTGAAATGGGCTGGCTAGTGAGGAAGGAAGAGCACCAAAAGAGTGTGATATCCTGAAAGCTAAGTGAAGAAAATGTTTCAAGGAGAAGGGATCGATCGACTGTCAAATGCTGTTGATAGGCCGAGTAAAAGGAAGATTAAGAATTGACATTGTGATGAAAATGTTCTAAAATTGACAGTGGTGATGGTTGCACATTTCTGTGCATATACTAAAACCCATTAAATTGGACACTACACTTCAAATGGGTGAATTGTATGGTATATGAATTATAGCTCAATAAAATTGTTATTAAAAAAAAAAAGAATTGACCACTGGATTTAACAATGTGGGTTCATTGGTAAACTTACCAAGAGCAGTTCTGGTGATATGAGATGAAAGCCTGATGGGATTAGGTGTAAAGAAAATGGTAGAAAAGGAATATACAGAGAATATAAGAAACTTGAGTTTTGCCAAATATGGGGGCAAAGAAATAGTGAGTTAATTGTTGGGGGAAACAGGATCAAGAGAAGGTTTTTACTGTGGGAGAAATAGCATGTTTATATGCTGCTGGGAATTATTTGCGAAATATTCCTAAAACTTTGATGATGTAGGAGAGAGGAGAGGATTGCTGGAGTGGTGGAGGTTAGAGAGGGTGGGGTCTATTCAAGATTTGCTTTCCATAGGAGTGTGGGCAGTTCATCCATGGGAACAGGCTACACAGGCAGCGAAGGTGTAGATGTGGTGGGAATCTGTGGAAGTTCTCTTCTGATTGCTTCAATTTTCTCAGTGAAGTAGGGAGCAACTGAGAGAGAGGATAAGGGAGGAGCGATGGGGGTTGAGGTATGAAAATGGTGTGACATAATTGCCTAGAAGTGCGAGAGTGAATGAGTTAGGCACGTGTCCAACACTATGGCCTGATGAGAAAACTGAGACTTGGAGAAGCGAAGTGGTTATCCAAGGTCACAGGCAGAGGTTCTGAACCTGGCTCTGAAGATCATAGAATTCAGAGATTCTGTGAACTTGGGAGGGAAAAGATTACACCTTTATTTTCACCAACCTCTAACCGAAATTTAACATATCCTTTGATTATGAATGTAGGCAACAAACCACTGGTACTGGCAATACCTGTGATGTTCCCACCAACAGAAACAATGGATATTTTCATTTCACATTACAATTGTTGGAGAGATATCCAAATATGATTTGCATTCATCACCACTTTATAATTATAATCGTTATTAGACTTTCCTCTAGATCTTTTTATTTAATGCATTGATAAAAACACCCTATTACTATATGACAAACATTTTAATATTTTTATAACTGTATTTGAATATAATTGTTTTCCTTTATCTTATTTATTTATTTATTATTCTTTTTTTGCTGAGGAATATTAGCCCTGAGCTAACATCTGTTGTCAGTTTTCCTCTTTTTTGGCTTGAGGAACATTAGCCCTGAGATAACATCTGTGCCAATCTTCCCCTATTTCGTATGTGGGTTGCCACCACAGCATGGCTGACAAGTGGTGTAGTTCCATGCCTGGGATCAGAACTCATGAACCTGGGCCACCAAACCAGAGTGCACCGAATTTAACCACTATGCCACAGAGCTGTCCCCTATCCCATATATTTTTAAAAATTTTTGTTTCAGTTTTTAATTGTGGTAAAATACATATTTACTATCTTCATCATTTTTAAGTGTACAATTCAGTAGTAAGTACATTCACATTGTTGTGCAACCAATTTCCAGAACTCTTTTCATCTTGCAAAACTGAAACTCTATACCCATTAAGCAATAATTCCCCATTTCTCCCTCCTCCCAGCCCCTGGCAACCATCCTTCTGCTTTCTGTTTCTAAGAATTTGACTACTCTAGATACGTCATAAGTGGAATCATACAGTATTTGTCTTTTTGTGACTGGCTTATTTCACGTAGCATAATGTCCTCAAGGTCCATCCGTGTTGTAGCACGTGTCAAGATTTCCTTCCTTTTTATTTTTTTAATGTTTAAAAAAATTTTCTCTTATAACTTCATTTTTTTCTTTTAATTCTTTTTATTGTGGTAACATTGGTTTATAACATTATATAAATTTCAGGTGTACTTCATTACATTTCGATTCCTGTGTAGATTACATCATGTTCACCACCCAAAGACTAATTACAATCCATCACCACACACATGTGCCTAATTACCCCATTCACCTACCTCCCTCCCCCTTCTCCTCTGGTAAACACCAATACAATCCACGTTTCTATGGTTTGTCATCATTTTTACCTTTTACTTATAAGTGAGATCATCAGTGTCTGACTTTCTCCCTCTGGTTTATTTCACTTAGCATAATAGCCTCAAGGTCCATCCATGTTGTCACAAATGGCCGGATTTCATCATTTCTTATGGCTGAGTAGTATTCCATTGTGCATATATACCAAATCTTATTTATCCTTTTGTCCCTTGATGGGTACCTACGTTGCTTCCAAGTCTTGGCTATTGTGAATAATGCTGTGATGAACATAGGGGTGCATGTAATTTTATGCATTCGTGTTTTCATGTTCTTTGGATAAATACCCAGCAGTGGAATAGCTGGATCATATGATGGTTCTGTTCTTAATTTTTTTTTTTTTTGAGGAAGATTAGCCCTGAGCTAACATCCACTGCCAATCCTCCTCTTTTTGCTGAGGAAGATTGGCCCTGAGCTAACATCTGTGACCATCTCCCTCCATTTTACATGTGAGACGCCTGCCACAGCATGGCTTCATAAGTGGTGCACAGGTCTGTGCCCAGGATCCAACCCAGTGAACCCTGGGCTGCCGAAGTGGAGTGTGTGAACTTAACCACTATGCCACGGGGCTGGCCCCCTATTTGTAACTTTTTTGGGAATCTCCATACCGTTTTCCATAGTGGCTGCACCAGTTTACACTCCCACCAGCAGTGTATGAGAGTTCCCTTCTCTCCATATCCTCTCCAATACTTGTTTCCTGTCTTGTTATTATAGCCATTTTGATGGGAGTGAGGTTGAACATCTTTTCATGTGCCTGTTGGCTATCTGTGTATGTTCTTTGGAGAAATGTCTGTTCAGATCTTTTGTCCATTTTTTAATTGGGTTAGTTTTTTGTTGTTGAGATGTATGAGTTCTTTATATATTTTGGATATTAACTCCTTATCAGATATATGGTTTGCAAAGATCTCCCAATTGTTAGATTGCCTTTTTATATTGTTGATGGTTTCCTTTGCTGTGCAGAAGCTTTTTAGTTTGATGTAGTCCCATTTGTTTATTTTTTCTATTGTTTCCCTTGCCTGGTAGTATCAGACATGGTACTACCCTACATTTTTAAAACTGAATAAAATTCCATTGTATATATATATCACATTTTCCTTGTCCATTCACCTGTCAATGGACATTTGTGTTGCTTCCACCTATTGGCTATTTTGAATAATGCTGCTACAAACATGAGTGTACAAATACCATGGGTGTATTTTTGAAAATATATTTAGGAGCTGGCCCCATAGCTGAGTGGTTAAGTTCGCACACTCTGCTTTGGCAGCTGAGGGTTTCGCTGGTTCGGATCCTGGGTGCAGACATGGCACTGCTCATCAGGCCACACTGAGGCGGCGTCCCACATGCCACAACTAGAAGGACCCACAACTAAAATATACAACTATGTACTGGGAGGACTTGGGGAGAAAAAGCAGAAAGAAAAAAAAGATTGGCAGCAGTTGTTAGCTCAGGTGCCAATCTTTAAAAATATATTTAAAAACATTATTCTGAGAAGGGGTCCATAGGCCTTATTAGACTTCCAAAGGGGTCCATGGCACATAAGAATCCCAGCGAGTGGTCTGGCCAGGATTTGAACTCAGGCCACCTGGCTCTAGAGCCCGTGTTCTTTCCACACTCGTGAGGTCATGCCACGTTAGCAGCCCATACTCTTCTACATCAGGACAGCTAGTGACACGTAACGAACAGTTCTTAAGAGATCAGTACCTAGACTCCTTCTCATTCCACTCTCTCCTAGGCTATTTCATTCATTACCATGGTTGGGTTTTTAACTTACTATTTATTTGTTTTTATGGAAGTTATACATGTTCATACAAGTTCTATACAAAACATAATGAAAAACAGTAATCCTTACCCCTTATCTCTGCTTCCCACTGCTTAAAGGACATTACAACTCTTTTACTGTTTCTTCTGGCACTTATTGCTTTTTCTAAATATCATGCCATTTCTGGATTTCTTTTCTCCTTTTCTGAGGAAGATTAGCCCTTAGCTAACATCTGCCGCCAATCCTCCTCTTTTTTGCTGAGTAAGACTGGCCCTGAGCTAACATCCGTGCCCATCTTCCTCTTCTTTATATATGGGACGCCTGCCATAGCATGGCTTGACAAGCAGTGCTTAGGTCCACACCTGGGATCTGAACCGGTGAACCCCAGGCCGCCAAAGCTCAACATGGGAACTTACTCACTGTGCCATCAGGCTGGACTCTTCTTCTTCTTCTTCTTCTTTTTGGTGAGGAAAATTGGCCCTGAGCTAACATCTGCTGCCAATCTTCCTCTTATTGCTTGAGGAAGATTGTCCCTGAGCTAACATCTGCGCCAGTCTTTCTCTATTTTGTATGTGGGATGCCACCACAGCATGGCTTGAGGCACAGTGTGTAGGTCTGTGCTCAGGATCTGAACCCAAGAACGCTAGGCCACTTAAGCGGAGTGTGAACTTGATCGATATGCCACTGGGCTGGCCCCCACTTCTGGATTTTTCAGTTTCAGATATTAGCCACTGATTTCTATTTTAAAAATAAGGACTTAACTCTCTCATCCTCCCCATAAATATGCATGTACTTTCTATTTTCCTAATGTAGTAATGTTATTTTTGTCAGATCAGCATTGAATGTTTACATTTTATGAGTGTGTAAATGTTATTTGCAAGTTGTGATGCTTAGTTTACTGTTTACATTTCCTTTCTTTTATGTTTTCCCCCTGAAATTAATAATTATCTCTTTTTTAGTTTGTTTACTTAATTATTTATGTGTTTATTATCAATTAAGTCTTATACTCTCATCTAGAAGTGGAACTCTCCATCTTAATATATTCAAATGCAATCAGCTAACTTATCAGTTTTATGTTTCCATTTTTTCTTAGATATATGCCTCCAGAGCCTTTCATCCTCCTGCTCCAGTCTGAAATGGTTGCTCTCTAAGCCTGCTGCAAAGCTGACTCCCTGGGATTGCCCTTCACTAGCAGCCTGGGTATTTCCTTCACTTATCTTCTATGTCGGGCACACTTTTTCCTGGATCCTATGACTTTTTTTCTTGGTTTACTCTCTCATTTTGGTGAGGTACATCTCCAATAGCTTCCTGAAAGGGATGCATGGTAGATAAGTCCTTTGAGACTTTGTATGTCTTTATTCTATTTTCATTCTTAATTGATCATGTGGCTGGGTGAAAAAGTCTAGGTTGTTAATTAATTTAGATCTCCAGATCTGTATTTGATGACATTGTTCCATTGTCTTCTGGCTTCCAGTGTTGCTGCTGAAGTCACTCTGATTCTTCATCCTTTGTATGTGACCTATTTTGTGTCTCGTAAGCCTTTAAGATCTTCTCTTGGACTCTAGTGTTCTGATATGTGGTGGCGTAGATCTTTGCTCATTCCTTGTGCTGAGCACTCCACGGGCCCCCTCTATTTTTATTTACTTTCCTCTCATTCAAAACTCATATAATTCAGATATTGCACCTCCTGAACTGATTCTCTAACCTTTTTATTTTGTCCTCTCCTATTATCTAACATTATCTTTTGTTCAATTTTCTGGAATATTTCTTCAGCTTTTATCTTCCAACCCTTCTACTGAACTTTATTTTTTTTTTTTTGAGCGAGGAAGATTGGCCTTGAGCTAACATCTGTTGCCAATCTTCCTCTATTTTGTATGTGGGACACTGTCACACCATGGCTTGACGAGCGGCGTGTAGGTCCATGCCTGGGATCTGAATCTGCAAACCCTGGGCTGCCAAAGTGCAGCACACGAACTTAACCACTGTGCCACCAGGCTGGCCCCTGAATGTTTTTTATAGTTTCCCTATTTTTGTTCAAAATCCTCTTCATCTCTAAGGCTACTAATTATATTGCCCCTCTCATTTTCTTTTGTTCCTGGAATTGTTTCTGTATCCTCTGAGAGCTTATTTTCTGTTTCTGTTTTGTTTGGTCTATTTATATGTTAACAGTGTTTTCTCCAATGCTCAGTGATCCTTGGCTGTCCACTCATCTCTTCAAGCAAGGTGCTAGAAAGCTGACTGGAAGCTTGGTATACACGGACAGAGCTGGTTGCACTTTAAGATAATATGTGTCTGGCCCAGTGGTGCAGTGGCTAAGTTCGCATGTTCCGCTTCAGCGGTCCAGGGTTCACTGGTTCAGATCCAGGGTGCGGACATGCTTCCACTTGGCAAGCCATGCTGTGGCAGGTGTCCCACATACAAAGTAGAGGAAGATGGGCACGAATGTTAGCTCAGGGCCAGTCTTCCTCAGCAAAAAGAGGAAGATTGGCAGCAGATTAGCTCAGGGCTAATCTTCGCCCCCCCCCCCCCCAAAAGATAATATGACTAGATGTTTTCATTATGTGACTCCTACAATTCATCTAATTATCCAAGCTTTTTCCCACCTCAGGGCCTTAGCATATGCTGTTTCTATTGTCTGTGTATTGATTAAAATGTATTTTGCTGAAGTAACTGAAATATGACTCAAGGTACCTTAAACAAAAAAGAAATATGGTAGTTCCCATAGCGGGAAGCTCAGAGGTAGAACAAATGTTACAGTTGATGTATCCAGTGGCCCAAGAGCATCATCAAGGACCAAGATGCCTTCTGCCACCCACTTTGCTTCAACCTAAGGCTGGCCCTTCAAGTTCATAGGAGCCAGGAGAAGTCAGAGCTATGAGTTTCCTTGTTCAAGTCAGTGGGAGAGAGCACTGTCCCTCCCCTCACAATGGAAGAGAAGTCCTTCCCTTTGGTCTAATCAGGCTAATTTAGGTCACAATGCTAACTCCTGAACCAACAACTTTCACCAGGTGAATACCACACAATAATTAGCTTAGGTCTAGGTTCCTGAGACAATCAGTACTAAGAGGGTTGAGTTTACTTTGATTGACTTAGCCATTCAGGACCATTCTTGGAATATAGTGAGGAGGGGGAGAATATCCTAAAACTGCTTTGCTCTTCCTTCATAAAGGAGGGATGTAAGGAATGTTAGGGATTCAACTGAACTGCTGAAATGCTCATCTACTTCTCCTACAAGTGGCTTCAGGTCTCAGTTTAAATGTTACCTCAGAAGTGGGTCTCTCCCATTATTTTTCACCCTCACATCTTTGTTTCTCTTTTAAGACTTAACACAAGTTGTAATTTTATATTATTTGGTTTGTTTACCTGTAAATTGTTGATCTCCTCTGCTAAAGTGTTAATTTCATGAGGTCAGAGACCATGTCTGCTTTATTCACCACTATATAACCAATGCCTAGAAGTATCTGACATATAATAGGTGTTTACTTAATAGTTGGTGAAGAAATGAATGAACCCAGGAATCAAGAGTATCTTCCTCTCTCACTGAGTCTCCAAAAGATATACTGAAGCTGAACACTTTTGCCATTTCTGCTGCCATGGCCATCTCAGTCCAAGTGGCTATATTCTCTTCCTTCATGTAATGGACATCTTTTGTTTTATTTGTCTAGCATTCTCCTTCTTTTGTGAACAAACTCTCTTTCCTCGATAAACCTGTTCCTTCCCCCTACTAATCATGTGATTCTGGTGGGGGCTGCTCTCATTATATCCTGCCTGATATTCACCTTCCCACCACAAGGGTAGGCACCTGACCCATCAGAGTCCTGTCCTGGGATTTTAAACACTGAAACTAAAGGAAGAGACTCAGATGGTCTCTCTTGGACAAGCTGTGACATTTGAGGGAAGGTACCATTGGTGGCCATTTCCTATCATGTCAAGGGATCTGGGTCTGAGAAAATAGAGTAAAGAAAACAGACTTGGAGGAATCCCCCTGGCACTGGTTTTAGTTTTCCCTACAGCCAGCCACATCCCAGCCCATCCCCCAGTTTGGTTATGTAAACCAAAAAAATTCCCTTTTTTGCCCAAATAGGTCTGAACTGCATTTCAGTTATCTGTTACCAAATGAGGCCCAGCATCCCACATGTCTGTGATAGCCTTTTGACTGGTCTCTTCATTTCCATTTATCTGCTCTAATCTATTTTCCTCCCACAGAGCGATCTCTTCAAAATTTATATCCTGCCGATGAAGAGCACAGGCCGGGTTAGACTCTCAGCTCCACCCTTTATTATCTGAGTTTCCTTGAGAAAGTTACTTAACCTGCCTGCACCAAGGTTTCTAAATCGGTAGAAAGACGATGATGACATCTCAAAAGGTCATTGTGAGACTCGAAGAAGAAAAGTACACTTAGTGTACTTAATAAGCACTCATTTGATGTTAGCTAGTAGTGGTATCAGCAGTGGTAACTCAGATCATGTCACTGCCCTACCTACCTCACTGACCTAGTTTCACACCACCCTGCTCACTAGGCATTAGTGACTTGCCTATTACCTATCCACTAACTTTGTGGCTCCTGATGGGATGGCCTGAGGGAGGAGGGCCTTAGGGCCTTCATACAGGCAATTCCCTCTCTTGAAATGTTCTCCCTGACCCTCCTTACTTGGCCTTGCTAACTCTTCATCCTTTTGCTTCAGCTCAAATGTCACTTGCTTCACTTCACTAATCAGTTAGGATCTATGAGATCCACAGGTATACTCCCTTCATAGAACCAGCAGTACTATGATTTCGTACCAAGATGGGTAGAAGAATCGTTCACAGATAGTCTTCACGCAGATTACACTGACATCTGTTTTGATGGGTAGGCGCTTATGCTGTGCACCCTGTTAAATATTTTGAATATCATCCTTGTGTAGAATCTGTTATTTCCTTCAAAGCAATTATCACAATCAATTTGCATATACTATATATAGTATATACACAGAAATACATATATATGTACTATATATATATTAGAGAGAGCTGTTTCTTCTCTACACTATGCTCCATGCATGTAGAGATATATATGTTTTGTTCATCCTGTATATCTAATGCCTAATAAAACAGTTGGCACATAATTGGTGTACAATGTAATGAATATTTGTTGAAAGAATGAATTTTTTTGGCAACTCCTGGAAAAATTAAACTGGGGATGTGGCAACTAGTCTAGGTCCTGATAGAACTGGAAACAGACTCTTGGGCATGGGGGTAGGCTAGGTAAGTTGCTAAGAAAAGACTGGTTACAGGGTTGTTCCAATCTCTCACCCACCTGAGCTGCTTGAGTTGATAAGGAGGTAGCAGGTGCCAAAGAAAACTTGCTTCCTCATCCTACACTATTTCACTCATCTCTGGCTGGTTTGGCTTTCCCTATGGGATCAGTTCTGTGGTCTCTCTACATGCAAGGGGACCCACGTGGCTTGGCTCCACTGGGAACCCAGGGCTGGGAAGCCAAATAGCCCAAATTCTTCTCACGAATTGTGGTCAGACTGTTGCTGTCGGTCTGCAGGTGATGTCCCCATCCTTCAAGTCCAGTTTCCTCATCTTTCTCACTTTATATCTAGGGTCCCTAAACCCTGCCTCATGGCCTTCTCTGTTTCAGATCCCTGGGTTCTCATTCTCTCTAATTTGTTCCCTAACTCTCAACTCTGTGCTGTGTTTAAATGGAAGTATTTTCTTTCCCCCCTGGCTTTTGGCCAGCAGCTTCAGTTCTTCACCATGTAGGCCTCTCCTCATGACATGGCAGCTGGCTCCTCCCGACATGGCAGCTGGCTCCTCCCAGAGTCAGTGATCCAAGAGAGAGAGGAAAGCAGAAGCCACAATGTCTTTTATGATTTAGCATCAGAAGTGACATACCATCACTTCTGCCATATTCTTTTTTTTTTGGGGGGGGAGGAGGATTAGCCCTGAGCTAACTGCTGCCAATTCTCCTCTTTTTGCTGAGGAAGATTGGCCCTGAGTTAACATCTGTGCCCATCTTCCTGTACTTTATATGTGGGATGCCTGCCACAGCATGGCTTGCCATGTGGCACCATGTCTGCAACCAGGATCCGAACCGGCGAACCCAGGGCCACTGAAGCAGAACGTGTGCACTTAACCGCTGTGCCACCTGGCAGGCACCACTTCTGCCACATTCGATTGGTCACACAGACCAACCCTGATTCAGTGTGAGAGAGGACTACACAGGATGTGAACACCAGGAGGGAGGAATCATTAGGAGGAATCATTTCAGAGACTGGGTACCAGAGAAGGGTTAGAGGAATTTGGGGAAGGAAGAAGAAGCTTTAGGACTTGAAGAAGGGAGATGCAGGAGACATTAGCTGAATGCCTGCTATGGGCCAAGCCCTTTATATCAAGTAATCTATATGAATCTTTTCCACAACACTAAGGGGTAGATATTATTCCCATTTTTCATATAAAGGAATTGAAGCACAGAGAAAATTAAGTGTCCAAAATCAAATCCAGTAAGAGTCAGGACTTGTACACCACACATGGGTCTATTACATTTTGTATGTACCAAAGGGTGGGGTATGTGCTACTGGTGGTATGAAAAGTAATTGTAGTTAGTATAGAGACATAGCATTAAATAATATTGAAAGTACAAAAATTAAACGTTTTTCAATCTTCTGATTATATCAAGAGAAAGCTTCGATTTGGAAGACATGCCTTATTACCTAACACTTGTTAATTTCTCTTTTTAAGAAAGAGAGGGCAGGCCACAGGCTCAGCACTTTTGACAATGATATTATTTTGGTAGAATTTAATATATTTCATTTTAATTGTATTTATTTTTTATAGTTACTTTGTGTTTCTGGGCTGGTAATACTGATTTTAAATTTACTAAAGGAATATAAAGTTAAATTCAAAATAAATACAAAAATTTTAAGTAATAGACAATAGTTCAAGTGATACTTGGGCGTGACAAAAATTGTAAGGAGAGTACTGACTGAGGTTTACTGCCGTCCCATTAGTTCTAGATTGAGGGGGAAGCCCGTTTGAAGTTCCAGCCTCAGCCAGATTAGCTACGGGCGCTAGCTGGATAGAATCACAAGTTAAAATTGACAACCAATCCTTTCCTGTGATGTTTCCTAAGCATTTCTCTTTTATCCAATGAATTACTCAGGACGGGTGGGCAGTCTTATAGACGGAAGATTAACGGAGCTGAGAATGAGGAGTTTGGTGTGAAACCTAAACGTTTTGCCCTATTCACCCGCCTCTTGCAAGTCAGGTGTGTCTGGTGGAGACAATACAGTGGGGGAACGTCCAGAGGCAGAAAGGGACATAGTATATGCGATTCCCAATCTCTTAGGTCCGTGATCCAATTGTTTTGGGGTCCTCCAATACTTCCATGCTACTGCATCTTCACAAAGTTTCTGTGGGAAACGAGCAGGACCAAAGTTTTAGGACATAAGGGCTGTGGTTCCGATTTTCTATATTGGAGGGGTTTGGGGTAGCGGGACAATGTGGCTGGAAGGGGGTTTCTAAAGTTGCGTTTTGTACATGATTTTACATGATTACGGGAACAACTCAAGGGTCCAAATAGGTGGTGGTCGGGGTATCCTAAGTATCATGGCCAAGCTTAGTCCCAGAAACCTGCTAACAGTTTCGGCCCCCGCGAAGCGCCCCTCCTTTCCACAACGTTCCTTCTGGGCGTTTGTCAGCGTCTCAAACCGTCCACGTATGAGGTCACTCTCCCAGGTCACGTGCTCGAGCCCGCGGGAGCGCCACATCGCCAGCCGCGCCCCTCCACCCCCACCCTGCCCACGTGACCCGGCCTACTTTCTCCCCGCCCGACCCAACGCCTCGCCCGGGAAGCCCCGCCCCACGCAGCGCGCTCGGCCTGCGAACCTACCCCCCCGCATCCTCCTGGGTTCGAGCGTGGCCCACGGCCCCACGTGTTTCTTCGTGTCCAATGGGAGCCGGCGCCCGGGCGCGAAGGGGCGGGGAGAAAAGGACGACTTCGTTACGCTGCGAGAAAGGGGCGGGGCCTGCAACGTCGGACTGAACGAGGGGACGCAACGGAGGCAGGCCGGAGCCGCTGCCGTCGCCATGACCCGTGAGCACCGAGACCCCCTCCCCTTGCCCTTTTCTCCCCGTCCGCCCCGAACACCACTGCCGAGTCCTGCCATTGACCTCCTCTTGGCCTCCCCAGCGAGGCCTTTCTCAGGGAGCGCTCTTTAGCACCTTTCACACTCGGCGCCCGGAAATCGGCCCTCTGCCCACCGCCACTTCTTGAGAACCCCCCCTCAAGTCAGGCAGAGGCCCTCCCCGACCTTCTGCGGTGTGGTGAGAAGCCCTGTGCGCTGTGATAGGCGCAGAGCCCCTGCCCCGCGTCCCAGCCCATCCCCCACACAGACCCTAAACCGTCCACACACACCACCTCCACCTGTCTAGGCTCCCGGGCCGCCCCGAAACTCGGAACACGCCTGTAGCAGGCTCCTCGGGACTGTCCGCCCTCCACCCCGCAGTGTGACCTGCCCCGTGGCAGCTCGCCGGCCCCCTCCCCCCCGGTCAGCAGCCTAGGACCCGAAATGGGCCGGAGTCGGGGCCCGGGCAATGAAGTGTTGGACCCTACCAGTGTCCGGGTGAGGGAGCAGGGTCGCCAGTGTGTGGCCGGAAAGGCCTCCGGACTCACCTTTTACCTTCTTTCTTTAGGCGGTAACCAGCGCGAGCTCGCCCGCCAGAAGAATATGAAAAAGCAGAGCGACTCGGTTAAGGGAAAGCGCCGAGATGACGGGCTTTCTGCTGCCGCCCGCAAGCAGAGGTAGCCCCAGGGAGGGGAGGGCTGGGGAGGGGTGCGACCTGGGTTAGACCGAGGGTTGTACCAGGAAAGAGCTACCTCAGGGCTTACATGTGGACTAGTCGTGAGGGGCAGAGTACATTGCTTCCTCTAGGGTTTTATTTCCTCCCCACCCTCCAAATTGTTAGCTCACAGCCTTACAGGAAGGGTCTGGGGCGGGTGCCTGCCCTCGGTCTGATTTCTGAGTGCCCCTGGGTCTGACCTTAAGGGCAAGGGCAGGGAGCTTCACATTTCAAATGCAGTAGTGGTTATGACAGCCTGGTACTTTTGGCCCTCCTTGCTGTTTGTTTCTCCTCCCATCTCCCAGCCTTCTCACTGGTGTTGCTGGGTGTGGTACCCAGCACAGAATAGACTTGGGCCTCTGTGGCCAGACTTCTGACCCGTTGGGCGACAGCCAGATAGAGACTGATTGCCTTTTGAGCCTCAGCTCTCTTCTTCTTGTTCTCCTAGGGTGGGAATACAGCAGCCACACGCTGAATTTTGTCCCATCCACTTCCATCTTATCCTTGTGCCCTTCATCCCCCTGCATCTTGTCCTTTTTGCCCTCTGGTACCTCCCAGTGCCCCATCATCTCTACCCCCAGGGACTCGGAGATCATGCAGCAGAAGCAGAAAAAGGCAAACGAGAAGAAGGAGGAACCCAAGTAGCTTTGTGGCTTCGTGTCCAACCCTCTTGCCCTTCGCCTGTGTGCCTGGAGCCAGTCCCACCACGCTCGCGTTTTCTCCTGTAGTGCTCACAGGTCCCAGCACCGATGGCATTCCCTTTGCCCTGAGTCTGCAGCGGGTCCCTTTTGTGCTTCCTTCCCCTCAGGTAGCCTCTCTCCCCCTGGGCCACTCCTGGGGGTGAGGGGGTTACCCTTTCCCAGTGTTTTTTATTCCTGTGGGGCTCACCCCAAAGTATTAAAAGTAGCTTTGTAATTCCTTGAGCGCCTGGTTTGACTGGGGATTTGGGGGGATGGGGATGGAGGAATGGCTGCCCTTTCCCACCAAAAAGGGAGAGAACTTTAGACTCTAAAAGGTTGTGGGTATGTAGACTAAGTGACACATCACAGAAAAATCCTTTATTATACTACAACAAACAGACAAGTATTCTGGGTATGTGGTAGAGGAATCCTCTAAGAACCATGGGGACTTCTTTTCTCTGATTTTTGTCCCTGACCCGGACCTTGAACACCATCCCAAGGATGGAGTTGAGGGCTTAAGAAGGAAGGCTCCAAGACCTAAGTTTATGCCCCTCTTCCTCATTCTTCCTCAGTTTGTTTGCCTGCTTGAAAGTTGGCCCCAAAATCCTGCTGCTCACTGACTTTCCACGGTCAGCTGCTCTCAAGTGTTCACATTCTCTTCTGTCATTCCTCATGGTATGAGGGTGGTTTTTGTCTTCCCACTTCCTTTGACCTTAAGACCAGGATTAAAACCTAGGGTAGTTTCTGTGCTCCTTTCTTCTTATATCCCTGTGCCCAGGGCTGAACTGCTTATTTTCCTTTCTGTCTCTCAGGACAGAGCCAAGTAAGTCTTTAGTCCCTGTTCTTTCCCTGCCCCCATCTCCACCATGACAGCCAGGAATGGGCTGGTGCCACACTGTCTGCTGGGATCAGCAGTGGTTCCTGAGCCGCTGACTTGGGAGTTAGGCTTTTCAGCTGGCTGAAGATGTAATGGTAGCTCCAGTGAGTCAGATAGTCTGCCCACGGCATTAGGGTATGTATGGCTACTTTTTCCAATTAAGACATAGTATTGACTTCAGCCTAAAGGGAGATGACTGCCCATTGTGTCTTTGCGGTATCTGCTGGGCTGAACAGCTCCTCTGAGCCAAGACTAGGGTACACCTCAGGGGAGCCCCAATTTGTTATCTGGCGATACTGATGCGATGGCACTGTCTCTTGAAGATAGGAGGAGGCTGGGGATCCTGGGTGGGGGACTGACAGAGTGGTGCCAGGAGCAGCCCCAGATAGAGGAGTACACAGGCCCAGCAGGAGGCAACCTTGACCCAGAAGGTAGCCCAGCTACCTGTGGTGAACGTCTTTTCCAGTTCTGCTCCCTCATAGCTGTAGAACCAAAGTCTCTGGTTAGAAAATATGCAGGGCCTTAGCTTTTAGACCTGTCTTACCTCTCCACCAAAGAATGTGGCAGACCCATGTGTGTCTCCTGAGAACCATTAGGACTGGCCTTGAATTGCTCTTTTGCTAAAATAGCGAGATTTTCAGGAGAGTATCCCAGGCCCACCTCCATCTTACCTGAACCAGCTGGTAAGGGTAACCATGACATAGAGTGATGCAAGGAACAAGACGAAGTGGAAGGCAGAATAGCTGTAGGAAAGATGCTGGGCTTGCACAGGAGGAGCTGTAGAGGTCTCTTGGTCAGCTGGCTTGGCGGCCCCACCCCTTTGCCCTGGAGACAGAAGGGCTGCTGGAAGCAGTGCTGCTGAAACACCTCTTCCCTCCCCACCCCAGCTTTTGTGAAGGTGCTTGAGGGCTCTTTGGCATTCTCCAGAAATCTACACTTTATTATGTGGATCCTCACTTGACACTCACCTTCCTCTGGCACCACTATTTTGGGGCAGCAGAAACAGAGTGAGGGCTTCTGTAAAACAAAAGGCAGCATGTTTGGAGTGACTTTAAGAAGAATGTGAGGGTATTAACATAGGAAACTCCCCTTCTTTGAAAAGATTAGTCTGGTGTAAAAGTGGAGGCACACCTGGGTGCAAAATAGCTCCAGCATATAACTGGCTGTGGGAACTTTGGTAAGATGTTTAACCTTCTGTGCCTCGATTTCTCCATTTGTAAAGTGGAGCAAATACCTACCTCACAGGGTTGTTGTGAGGATTAAATTAAATGAGATTATGTATAAAGTATCTAGCACAGTGCCTAGCACATTGTGGGTACTCAATAAAAGGTAATAGCAGCTAGAATCTGAGCATTCTGGGTAGAGGTTGGTGGGATGTGTGTGTGTGTCTGTTGTGAGTGGGGAGGGGCACTGGGGATATTGAGCTCTCTGTCCTCACCTGGAACTCATAGCTGTAAACCTTGACAATCCACAAGGGCCCAAATACCTCAGCCAGGTAGGAAGCCTCAACACTGAGAAAGAAAAGAGAGTTCTCAAACGGCTCAGTCAAATAGCAAGAGGGATTGCCTGAGGGCATTTACTGCCAACTCTGCCATATTGGTAACTCTCAGGGGGGTACTGTGCCCCCGGAGCCCCTTTCCCTGAAAGATTTAGAGATATTTTCATTTGAGGGCCCTAAAATCTTTGCACATATCTTTAATTCTCAAGTCATTACCCGTACCCCCTTCATCTCATACAGATCATCTGACAGTGCTATTCTTAGAAATCATTTCTGTTCATGGGGAGCATTCCTCACTCGTCTTGCTCTAAAGTTTAAATAAACCATAGTCCCAGTCTGCTGACTATCCTTCCCTGTCCTGGGCATCCTCCCTTCTGGCACACCTCTCCCCTTGACACCTTTACGCACCAGGCAAGAAGCACACAAGTATACATGATGCCAGCACTCAGTACTGCTACAGAAGTATCTGGTGTTTGGGGTTCCATTTTACTCAGGCCAGGCAGGCACAGGGTGTGATTCTGTCCTTGAAGGATTACTGAGGGGGGGGCAACAGAAGAGAGAGGTGGTAAGAACAGAGAGCTAAGTATTTGGCAGGAGCAAAGAAAGGTTTTAGCATGAGGGGTCCAGGTCCTGTCCTTACCACTCTCTGGAGGACGGCTGGATAGCGCAGAGAAGGTCAGGTACATGATATAGCAGCTGATGACAGAGGCTTGTAGAAGGCCAGAGCGGGGTTGCTCTGGGGAGAATGGGGATCACTGCTTAGTCAACAGGGTAGTAATTTCCTCCACTTCTGCCCCCACTTGCACTTCTGTCTCCCCACTCTTTGTGGGAAGCAGAGAATTGACTGAGATTAGGGAGGCTGATGAAATTTGCTATATATGCTAAAGGCCCCCAAAATCTGGAATGTTGCAAGGCATGTACCCACTGAGGCGGATGCAGGGAGCGATGGAGAGGAAGGAGAGGAGGCCACAGAAACAAAGGTGCAGACTAAGTAGCATCTTGTTGAGCAGGCAGCCAGCTGGGTGTGTGTAGTGGCGGAACAGGAGCACAGCTGTCACACCTGCCATGCTGTAGAATCCTAGGGTGGCCAGCAGCACAGCTAGGAACCATCGGCAGTCTTGGGCTGCACCCATCTGCCTAAGGGTAGGAGGTAGGCAATGGCTTGCGGCTCCAACTCTTTACCCATTACCAACTGTTCCTCCTCTCTCAGAAGACTGATGTGACTACCCATCCCACTAGGCCCACAGAGTCATCACATTCTTGAGCTTTTTGTACTGCTCAGTGGGAAGCTATGGGACCATTGACCTGTCACAGCCCAGCTCCACTGGGTCTGGTAATGTCAGACAACCTTCCCAGGAAGAGCCTTTAGGATTATGTGCTCGTTACCAGTTCTTGTTCCAGGAATGGGCAAAGGCTGTGATAAGCACCAACTGCAGCAGGATGAATGTGAAGCCTCCACAGATGCCAATGTAATGCCAGGCTGCACATGGGGCATCAATGGCAAAAAGCAGATTATTTCATTACTCCTGGTCCTTTTCCTACACTCTCTTTTTCTTAGAAAATCTTTTAGCTTACTCCTGATCAGGATGTGAGATGAAAGGTACCTGGGAAGAGATGCTCATCAGGGATGCAGAAGGCAACAGCACAGAGAGCTAGCAGGAACAGCAGCTTGAGGACCCAGAAGCTGGTTAGGAGGGAAAGAGAAAACCAGACTAAGAAGAAAAGGCAAAGAAGAGTGAACAGCGCCTAGAGAGGAAGGCAAAGGAGAAAGCAAAACTATAGGAAAGGGGAGAGAAGAGAACTAAGCATAGGGAAGGAGAAACCAGTCCTGTCAGATGGGCTGGAAACAGGCCTGTGGCAGCCTTTCCCAAATTCTCTCAGATGCCTAAATAATCATATCCGGACAATGTTTTACAGTTGACAAAGGGTTTGCATATAATAACCCCACTGTTAGCTCCATTTTAGAAACTAGAAGCTCAAAGGATAAGAGTGTAGCTCGTGGTCACACAGCAAGTACGGTGGAAGGAGGGACTTAAACCTGTTTTCTGTTTTTTTACAGTGCTATTACTTCATCTTGGGATTTCCTTTACTCAGTCTACTTCCCTCCCTATCCTCTCCCCACCCAAAGAATACACACAAACCTATTATGCAGCTGTGCCCGCGGGCTGGTAGGGGATTCGAGGTGGACCAGCAGCACAGCCTGCAGCAGGTGGAAGGTGGCAGTTCCTGCACATACTCGGTACACAGCCCCAGAGCCACTGAGCACTGGGCAGTGAGAGTGGCCAAACAGATGGGCACACAACTCTGAGGGCATCTGGATCTGGAAGGGAGGATGCATGTGAGAAATGGCAGGGCAAGTCATGCATAGAGAGGTACCTACTTCTCATGGGTATGTCCACTCATTTGCCCCCGCCCCCAATCTGAATCTCTTGTCTATCTCAGGGTTTCTCCTTTTATCCTTTCCCAGTTGCAGCCCAACCCTCTCCCACTTACCCCATGTGCCTTGCCCCAGACCCTTTCTACTACTGTCCTTGACAGCAGGAGGCAGCAGACTGCTGAGGCCCCTACATGGAGGAGGATGTAGAACAGGCGGCTAGAAGTAGACTCTGTGAGAAGAGGCCACCTAGAATGGCAGCAGCAGGTACAGGGAACAGGCCCACAGCAGGTCACCTGGTGATAAAACATGCAGGGCAGCAAGGTGGAGATTTGCTGAGGAGAGGCTTACATTAATGTATGTGTGAGGTTAACCCATGAGGCTGAATTCCAAAGTTTCCCCTTCCCTTTTCTTCTCCCTTTTACTTAGGAATTCTCAGAATGTCTGGTTCCAAGCTCTTTAGGATTGCCTTCCACTGACATCGGGTAGAGCTTTTATCAAAAGAGCTTACTTTCCTTCAGGCTTGAGCAGACCTTCCTAAAAGCCGAAGTCACACCTGGCCTCTAACCTTTCCCTAGACCTAAACATCTGATACTGGGAACGTAGGAGTCTTGGAGGCATCGGTAGTCTTGGAGGCAAAGAAGCAGAAGGGCCTCAGAGGGGAAAGGAAGGCCTATCATCTTGATTAGCTCCCGTGGGTTTTCCTCCTCAGCTTCGGCCACCATTCCCTTCCACTTTTTCAGATAACTCTTGCTCTAGGGAGCTTTCAAGCCTCTCTGCCCAAGTACTGTCTCACCTGATAGAAGGGAGGATTTACCATGACACTGCTGACTCCACTGCGTTGCTGTGTCAGGCGGAGGGAGGTGCTGGGGCCCGTGACGGCTTTTGCACCCATCACCCTTGTCCCAGGGATTAGGCCCAGGTCCACCAGATGGAAGGTAGATGAGAAAGTAGCAGCTTTCTTTTGTCCTCAGTCCATTGGACTGCGGCTGTGCTGGGCTGTGCTGGGGCCGGTGCTGGGGCCGGTCGCCTAGCCCAAGGCAGGATGGGGAGGGACTTCAGGAGAAGAACACCGACCTCCAGGATGTGGTAAATGCAAATGTCCCTGTGACTTTTCCCCAGGGCCTGTGGGTCACTCCGCCTCTTCTCCCCAGATTAGAGAGCAGTTTGCATATCTGACTTCCTGTGGATTAGTTTCATAATTGGTTTAGGATTAGACGTTAACCATCCTGGTGGAACAGAATTCTTGGGGGTTTGTTTGTGGAGGGGGGATCTAGGTGAAGAGGAGGGAAGGATATAGGGTGGGAAGGTCTGGAGTGGTGACGGGCAAGGTCTGGGCAGGGCCTTGCAGAAAACACCGTAGAAGCCCGAAAGAAGTCTGAGAGGCCAACTGCTTTCCTCGCTGAAGCTTCTAGAACCAGAGCATTAATGAAGGTGTGGCCCAGGGCCAGCCCCCCCTCCTTTTCTCCCGGCGGAAGGTGCGGGGCAGCTACCGGAAGTCCTAGAGGCGCGGGGCGGGGCTTGTGCGGCGGCGCCGTGGGATCGATATGGCGACTGAGGGGGACGTGGAGCTGGAGTTGGAGACTGAGACCAGCGGTCCGGAGCGGCCTCCTGAGAAGCCAAGGAAGCATGACAGTGGTGCGGCGGACCTGGAGCGAGTCACCGACTATGCGGAGGAGAAGGAGATCCAGAGTTCGAATTTGGAGACGGTGAGGTGGGCCTGGAGCGTGTCTGGGCGGGCCGAGAGCAGAGGGGGCTCTGCGGCCGTAACTGAAAGCCCCGCTCCAGGACGGGGCCCCATCCCGATGGTGGGAGGAGGCGAGAGGGAAGCTGAACTTCACTGGAGCCCGCCTTTTGCGAAAGTAGCTTGATGGAGATTCGGTTTAAAGTGGATCTGAGGTGCACAGAATCGAATTAAATATAGGCCTTGGTTTCTGATACACTCGTCATCGTGAACACACACGTTTTTAGATTATTGCGAGTTGTGGGTAGCACAGCAGTAATTGGATCTGTTTTTCCCATAGGCCATGTCCGTGATTGGAGACAGACGGTCACGGGAGCAGAAAGCCAAACAGGAGCGGTAAGTCTTCCAAACGCAACCAGCCCACCAGCCCCTTTCCCCCAGACAAAAATAAAAGTCATCGTTAAGCCCTTGTACCTTTCTCCCACCTATCATCAGTTCCTGCAGATGTAAGGTTTACAACTTTACTCTTCTGTTGGTTGAAGGAAAGGCCTCTTGGCAACGCCTGCTGCCTGCTGTAGACTCCGGGGGAAGGGATAGGGATGTTAGGTGAGGGGGTGGGAGTCATTTTGTCTTTCTTTTCACTCAGTATTGTTTATCAAGAGTCCTTTATTTGTAAGGCAATGATCCTTCCTGGGAGTTTACGGTAGAGGTAGAGAATGAGAACTAATGTACGTGAATATTTGCAGGGAGAAGGAACTGGCAAAAGTCACTATCAAGAAAGAAGATCTGGAGCTGATAGTGAGTAGTAATGCCTAACTAGTGTATGGGCAGGGGAAGTTACTTTGCTTAAGTTGTTTCCTGAAACAAGTAGAGTCAGCATGGTTTGGTGGCCTATGTTAATGCCTGGGAGGAGACTTAGGTAACATCACGATCCTTTTCCTGCAGATGACAGAGATGGAGATCTCACGAGCAGCAGCAGAACGGAGCTTGAGGGAACACATGGGCAACGTGGTAGAGGCTCTTATTGCCTTAACCAACTGATTTGTACTTTTCTCAGACCTACCCACTGGATTAACTTATTTCAATAAAGATTTGTCCTTTTTTTGTTGTTTTATCATCTTGGATCAGGTGTATTGTATATTGTATTTCATTGAGAAAATTTACATGCTAGAGTATAACTGAATTTAAGTGACACTCCTACCCTATCCCTTAATGAACTTAGGTGGAGGATAAGTGTAGAAGAGCACCTCACTTTCAGATGCAGATGCTAGGTGGCAGGCCAGGCTTATTCATCTGCCTAGCTTTCACTTAACAGTATTCAAGGTACATCTGGAGTCTCAGCACAGTTACTGTACCCCATGGAATGTGTCTCCAGGGCAGCTTATGAACAGCTGAAAGACCAGTACCTTCCTAAGAGCCACTGTACATAGATATAAATCACCAAACCAGTTTATAAGCCACTTTGAGTTAGAATTTAGGTACTGAGGTGGGAACATGGTAAGTACATACAATAGAAGATATCAAAGGTTAGCTCCTAAGTAGAGTTAATCTATAAAAGATTTTGATTTAATACTTGAATTTTGAACCATAACACTTATACCTTACATTCCATTTCCTATCCTGGAGAGAAGACAATTTTACTTTAAAAGTTGATCAACTTAGGCCACATCACCTTTGCTGAGCTTGTTTCCTCAACTGTAAAATGATACATACCTGATAGATTATTTTAAGAATTGAGCTGGTGAATGCAAAATGCTTGGCCTAGTACCTGCCTAAGAGCAGACACTCAAATGTCAGCTACAAACACTTTCCCGAAAGAATTTCAAGGTCTTACTCATTTTGGCTCTAGGATAATTCTTAGATTGTATCCCCTCTCTGAAACACAACAGTGATTTATATTCGTTTTTATGTGTATTACCTCATGGTATATTTGCATTTGTATTTTTACTCTAGGACATTTAAGGATTTATGAGCGGTCTTCAAAAAAATAGCCTTCCCACTGGTTAAATGTCATTCCTTATAATCCCTAGGACTCATAGTGCTCTGCCATGTGCATGGTGGTTATGTAGCACAAATTAAACGGAAAAATCATTGAATTTAACTCTAGCATGATGTGACTACATTTCAACTTAAGAGCACTGTGCCCTCCTTTGGTACATGAGCTGGGCAAGGAAAAGATACTGGTAGGTACCTGGATTCCCCATTTCACGGGTCAACTTTTGTTCTATATACAGCTACTGTTTAGAGAGCAAGGACAACCACATATGTATTTGCTTATGGAATGTCTGGGTGCCACTTAGAATACAGACTGTCTAGCATCTGTGTTTTGGAGATGAAAGAGGATGATCAAAATGTGCCAGACAAGCCCCGGCTATCTTTTATTTTCGTTAATAGGTCTATACTTGTCAGCCTGCACATTTTATTTCCATTATCATGCTAAAAAACTTCTTGGTGTATGATTCCTTTATTCCTCGACACACATACATAAATGGATCAAAAAGTTTGTTCACTTAGAAAAACTGATGCCAATCGAAAATGCACAACAGGTTTCAATGAGCTTAGATTTCTTGTAAGGTAAAAGTAATGCACTGTCCACTTACATGCCCATGTTTCTAACCCAAGCTAAGGAGCTGGAAAAAGAAACTTGGAATAGTCCCAAGTGAATTTGGGAAGCGACAGAAGTAATGAAATCTACGATTTCTCAGAAATAGTTTTCAGTGGGAGTCTTCTAATCCTACCCTGGATAGTCTTTTCTGTGGGTTTCTCAGCATGAGTCCAAACCACACAAAGCACCTTCAGATAGGTTGCCCAGTGTCACATGTACGGCAGTATGTCCAACAGGCTGGATACTGGGGCCATGTAAATAATGGTAAAAGCAAATCAAGGACCAGATGCCGAGACTTCCCCTTGTGTCCCATAGCTGGAAGGATAAGTAGTTAAATTCTAAGTAGTTTTCCGCTTCTTGGCAGATGGCCGTTCAAATACATCTCGTACCCCAGCTGCCTTTTGTTTAAAGAACTTTGTGTTCTGAGCACTCTCTTGACCCCATGCTGAGTCGAATGAGGTGGTGTCTTGATCCACAAGGTGCGTGTATTTGGTACGACCAGACCGCCCAAAGTTCTTGACCTGAAGGAAGGATAGACGATAAGTTACACGACCAAACATTTCATGTCCCAGCCCTCAATACATTACTTTTTTCTCTCGTGCTATTAAGGTACCCCATACCTGCATGACTTTGGGAAGAATAGTTTTGTTGAAATGATCCTCCAGGGTAGGTGCGCTGAAATCTCTCTTGTATACCTCTTCATCCTCATCCTGTGGAAAAGACTCTGTCAGTCTTGTGATTTTATTTTTGTATAGTCAAACCCCAAATTTATTAAACTCTACGACACGGGATACAAAGAAAGCAGCGTAGGTATCGAACTTTTTCTTCAAGAGCTTATATCTAGTGGAGATGATACTCCTTTTTTCCTTTGTGTTGTCTTCTTAAGTGTAGACATTTCCTGAAGGTTGGCTATATTCTCTCTGCACTCAATATGTTCATGCACTCATATGACTTCAACTTGGTACAGGCCTCTCAAATCTCCGATCCTGAATTTTCTACTGCCCATTATATATCTTAGCTTGGATATTCTGTTGGGACTTCAAACTCACATCTAAGGTGAAAATCATTTCCCCAACCTTTTCAAACCAGCCTTTCCTGATTTAACTTTTTCTGCTAATAGGACCAACATTCTCTCAATTACCTAGATTCAAAATCTGTGCAGAATCAATTGACACTTCTTATAAACTCTCAACACCTGGGTTATTAAAGGTTCTCTCTGCAATCAATCTTACTCACTGCCACTGGATTAATGTTTCTAAAACAACTCTCATTATACCTATTCCTTGCTCAAAACCCTCAGTGGGTCTCTATTTTATTAAATAAGCACGACTCTGCGTAGTAGTCAAGGACAAATACTTTACAGCCTTAATTTACCTCTCCTTGTACTTTCCTTTACAGCTGTTACTTTCTGCCTCCACTCCTGGTCCCTTCACCTGGAATGTCTTCCTACCACTGAATGTCAGAAAGTCTACATCTTAAAAGTCACCTCTTTTATGTCACCCTTTTCAATCTTCTACCAAATATAACATCTCTCTCTTCAAAAATCCCATAGTACTTTCACTCTTCCTCTTGTTCCAGTATGTATTTGCCTTAGCTCCATTTTTAGATTGTAAGCCTTCTGAGGGCAAGGATTATCCTCTAGCAGTGCTCAACAGTAGTGCCCTTTATACAGTACATGCTCAAAAGGTTATTTACTTAATAAACTATATAAAATAACTACAGAAAACAGTTTCAAATCAACATTAGGTAAGACTATGATACAGGTTATACATGTGCTGAAGGAATTAAAATAGCACCATCTTGATTAAGGAAAGTTTCATGGAAGAGCTGAGTCCTTTAACCCAACATAGTTTTGAAGTATTCTTTTCCCTTTAGCTATAGAAAGGCCCAGTTTAAGGGTAGAACAATTAAACAGTTTTTATGAGATCTACTTTTCTCCTTGTTAAAAGTCTGAGATGTCATTTTTTTTTTTTTTAAAGATTGGCACCTGAGCTGATAACTGTTGCCAACCTTTTTTGCTTTTTCCTTCTTCCTCTCCCCAAAGCACCCCCAGTACACAGTTGTATATTCTAGTTGTGAGTGCCTCTGTGGTTGTGCCATGTGGGATGCTGCCTCAGCATGGCCTGATGAGCGGTGCCATGTCCGTGCCCAGAATCCGAGCTGGCGAAACCCTGGGCCACTAAAGCAGAGCCCACGAACCTGCCCAGGAACCTACCCACTTAGCCACGGGGCCGGCCTGAGATCTGTCATTTAACCTCAGAAGCCATTTCAACTTCACTCTCCTTGTCCAGAAGAGAAGAGTCAATATTTGAGTATGTGCACCAAAAGGCTTTCACATAAACCTTTCCTTATGTTTCTTAGCCAGCAATCCACTGCTTCTCTAAGAAGTTTGATTATTAAAGCTGCTGAAATGCTTAAGAAGTGATGCTTTATGACTCTGCAGCAGTATAAGAAGTAATTCATAATCTTCACTGACTCCAATCTAGAAAACTACATACACTGGAAAACTACATAATAAGAAAACATTTCCTGCTGAGCAGATATACTGAAACTGATTTTGGAGGGGAGTAAGGAACCCTCCACTGAAGTTTTTACATTTTACTGGTATCTACAGTGAAAGGCAGGAATTTAGCTGCAGTGGGGATACTTAGGGTTTGAGATACAGCATGTGAAAAAGTCAGTCTAGTTTCTGATACAAATTTAACATGAAATAATTTAACAAACCACAAGTATTAGAGTAATAAATGCAATCAATTTTCCCATTCCCTTTCCTTCTCTCTATTAAGGAATTATCACTGGTGCTAATTCAAATAGTTTGGAAGAAGTCTTCATCACTTTACACAGAGCTAAGAGACTGGTAATTTGACTTTGGTCTTGATGTGCAGGACAACTGAGATGATGGCATTATACATAATGGTTAGATAACCATTTTTCTGGCTAGTTAGGCTTAGTCACTTTCAGTCAGCTCAGAGTGAGTTAAACTTTCACCACGCAAATATGAATTAATGTAAAGCTATTTACAGAGCTTAGTTTCACATAACTCAAATTTCTCACTTGGCTGTGAATAATATCTAAGTGATTTTGGGGACCTTAGTAGTTTACTATCTATATAGATCACTCTTTCTCTATTTCAGTTCCTCAATTCTTCTATTATATCATTTCCTCCTGAGAACTAGGGCCAAAAGAGAAGAGGTGCTGCTACTTCTAAAATCTGCATGTTGCCAATGCTTTCTCTATTGGGTTTATATTCTTCAGAAGCAAAAAAGCAGATGAGAAAGTTGACCACTGGCAAGTGGAAGTAACACTCCAGGACCAGTTTATTGTTGGAGGGAAAAAAGAATTCAAAGCTTCTGAGTTATTCCTACTACCCAAATTTCCCATTCTCTTTTCACTTCTTACCATGAAGAAGGCACCCCGGTGATAATACTTCTGTAAGAACTTATATTTGCCCTTAACAGCTTTGTTGGTAATGACTTTGCCATTTGCCCGAAGCTCAGCTCGCCTCTCTTCCTCAGTCAG